TGGGGGGGGGGGGAGGAAGCCCGACACACAAAGACTCTTGAAGGCATGTTGGTTGGGAGCATACAACCTCATGTCTTCCACAGCAAGTGCCAGATAGCGGCCAAACACAACTGCCCTGACGTACCATCGCACGACGAATCCTGGAAGCCGTTTCTCATGGCAGAGGAGGGTGGAGGAGGTGGTGGTGGGGCTCCAGAGCCAGGTCTGTCAGGCGGAGGAGGCGGCGGCGGCACAGGTCCGCCTCTGTGCTTATCAAAGCCTCCTCTGGAAGGAAGCTGTGGGGTGGCTGGCAAAGCCCGGGAAGTGCTGCCATTTCTGCTTATTGGGGGTGGGGGTGGAGGAAGGGATCCTGAATGCAAGAAAGGGGGGGAAAAAAGGAACAACTGTTGGTTATATTTTATATTGAGCACAGCACCCTCCATATTTACATTCCCAACACAGGATACAGTATATTTTTTTCTTATTCTGAAAGCAGTTATCTCACCTCGTTGGGCAGACAGACCAAAGAATGCCATGCACGAAAGGAACACAAGATCCATTTGCAAGCAAGGAGAAAGGTAGTAACCATTTCCTGTCCCTGTATGTTACTTTTTCACTTCTCTCTTCATTATCTTAAAGCAAATAGAGTTTGCTATCTTATTCTGTTTGGGAAGTAACCAGATGCTGAGTGGACCTCTCCTGCAGCAACGCCAGGGAAAGCCACTGATACCCAGCTTTTCCGGACCCGACTATTTCTCTGCACAATTTACCAAATAATGACAGGACTGAGTGGTTGTCTAGATGTTGGAAGATGAGAGTTGTAGTCCATCAACAATGGTGGCCGGGTTTGCAATCCAGCAACATCTGAAAGGCCACATGTTGCCCATGCTTGATTTAGACAGAATTATCTTGCACAAAACATACCAAGAGCTATTGGTTTCAAATTTACGGCAGTTCTACCCACAATAGGAAACCTGGCCTGCAATTATATTATCTTAGTAGAAAGCTACTAAAATTAAGCCAGTGCTAATATTATTCATACACACAGAATTTTCCTACTTAACAAATTATTTTCCCATGCTACTTGATTTTTTCTGAATGAACAGGAAACAAGTACCGACTGAGAGCATCCCATTTCCCAGCATCAGTTTGTTGGTATAAATGGCAATGTACCACATCTAGGTCCAATGCAACTGTCAAACAGCTTTGCCTACAAGGATCTCAAACATATTTATTTCCATTAAGGGAAACCATCAATGCAACTGTCAAACAGCTTTGCCTACAAATTGGATCTCAAACATACTCTATTTATTTCCATTAAGGGAAACCATGATGTTCCATTGCATATAAACCCAATTATATATTTACACATACATGTTGTACATACTTTTTTTACAGCAGGAGGGGGAGCAGTAATGTCAGGGACACACTACAGGGCCTTAAGGAGTTGTCACCAGGATGCACCAAGACTCAGACTCTCCTGAACAGCCTCCTTACCTGGCATCCAAAACGGGGCATAAAAGACAGAAGCCTCTGATGGCAGCTACTTATATTTATAATGCAATGTAGTGGGGCAAAACCACAAAGATGACAACGATTTCTCTCTCTAAATGGAGAGGGCTGAACTGCATCACAATGGACAGGATATTTTGGGGAACCAGGAATGAAAGTGGAGACCACAGCTCACAGGGATGTAGGAAGATGCCCGATGCTGAATCCATACCCTGGGTTCACCTACCGCAGCATGGTCAGCTGTGATTGACAACAGTTCTCTAGGGTTTCAGGTGGGATTCTTTCCTAGCCTGGCATTCCCTAGGGGTCTCCCATCTCAGTACTAACCAAGCCCAACCTTGCTTCACCTCCAAGCTCAGGTGAGACAGGGTGTGTTCAGGTGATGATGGTGGCCTACACAATTCTGCTTGTTTGCATATGGCACCAAAGCGATTTTGCTGGAGGGATGCTCCAGCCCACGAACTGGGGCCGGACCTCTGCAACCTTGCTCTAGGCACCTTACAAGATCTCAGGGTCTCTTTTTGCTGGGGGGCCTTACCTGACCGGCTGGGGGGGTCTCTCACAGGTGGCGGCGGCCTCTCGCCTGGCGGGGGAGGGAGAGGCCCTGTGCGACCACCGCCAGGCAGACCGGGTGGAGCGGGAGGCGCAAGCGATATATTCCTCTGAGGCAGCCGCGGCATGTCATCGTTGCCACCCGGTGTGGGAGGAACCGGGGGTGGCCCCGGCCTGCTCGGGGGAGGGGGAGGAGGAACCGCAGCCCCAAAGGATGGTCGAGGTGTTGAGGGAACTGGAGGTTTGCTGTTCTGAGGCGGAGGAGGTGGCAGAGAAGGCTCCCTGTTGAGAGAGGGCCTGTATCCCATTGGAGGTGGTGGTGGAGGCGGCTTCTCTTCTGTCAGCCTGCCTGGTGCAGGAGGAAGAGGAGGCCTGTTTGAGAAAGGGGACGTGGAGGCAGGATTGCTGGGGGACGACTGGCGAACGGATCCTCCAAACCCTGGATTTCTGCTTCCTGGGAAAGGTGAAGGCGTAAGCCCTAAGCTGGCTTGTCTGCTTGCTCCTGGCATAGGGGGAGCTCCCCGATTGTGCAGACTGGAAGGGATAGGTCTTGGAGTATTCGGCACAGGAGGCGCGCCAGTGTCCGGCCTGGAGCCAGCATCCGGTCTTGGGGGAGGCATCCGACTTCTCTGGAGTTCTGGAGCTGGTGTTCTTTGCCCGAGAGAAGGGCCCGGAACCCGCCCTGGGCTGCCGGAGGGGGAGAAAGGCTTAGCAGACGTTGCTCGTCCTCCGGGTGGAAATACTGGCGCTCTGCTTCCTGGAGAATCTGAGAAAGAAAAGAAATGGTTTGGTTATAGTGCAGTGGTGGGGTTGGGGTTAGGGAGTTCTGAAAAGCCTATTTGTAAACTACCAGGGATGGTGACCAGCATGTCTGAAAATTTATGACAGGGTGAATCTCTTCACTCCAGGAAGCCTAAAGAGACTGCTGGCCGCTTTAGGAAATCTGCAAGGGATGATCTGCAAGAGTTTTAAGCATGCTGGTGAGGTCTGCCTACATGCCACCTCCCCTCATGGGTTAGATTTTGATAAAGCACAGCCTTCTCTGTTGAATATTCTCAGTGGTGGCTGGGTGGGTGGGGGGAAAGCAAGCTCAGGCCTTAATACAATGTACCTGGAGAAGCTGCAAGAATGTATATGCAAGCTGGTGCCAGAATTTCCCTAGAAGAGGCAGCTTCACAGAGAAACTCTGGCATGTCTAGTGCAGGGAGATTAAAGGGAGATCCATAAATAGCCGGTGACACAACAGATAATACCAGCTCTGAAGGTCTGTGTTGCATCAACACAGGCTGAAAGATCACTGCATGTATTTTAAAAGCACCATTACATTCAAGGCGTGATGGTAGATCTTTGCAGCTGGGAATGTACATGGCTGGCCAGCCTCCAACTGCCTAGCCCAATGTTCTCCAACCTGAGATCTTCCTGGTGTGACAGTCTCTTATCTCCATCATCTCCAACCTGCATGCCTTCTGGACTTTGCTGGATGGGGATGGTGGGACATGTAATCCAGCTCCTCTGAAATACTGGGAAAGTCTGGTCTAGCTTTTTCTCTGGCCCATAAATGCACTTCCAACCTTTTAGTTCATGGGAAGAATATACAGTATACTCATAATGTGCCCTTTATTATGTTCCACCATGATTTCTGTATATTTTTGCTGTTGGTGACTGAGATTTTAAATTATGACATGAACGAAGATTTTATTTTTATGTATGATGGGTGGTAAGCAAGTGTGTTATTATTATAAATAAAATAAAACTGTGTCCATTCTGGGCCGCCTCTACAAAAAGAACATATTTGATTCCAACACAGTAAAAGGTGTTACGGGAAAACACAATACAGAGGTGGATTACAATGGTATGTACTAACACTAACACACATACTATTCACTAGATAAATACATAAAAATTCTTTAAGCTCTACACAAAACACCGTAGTTCAGAGAATCAACAGAGTGTAATGGCTGGAAGTGCTGAACTTGAGACTGTGGGAAGCTGCATTTGAATTTCTGCTCAGCTCACTGGCTGGCCTTGGGCATGTCAACCTTCTGTATCTCACAGTGTAATTCCATAACAAAAAGGGAATTTTGAGTATGCCTGGCATACTCAGCCCTATGAATAAAGGCTAGGATACAAATTTGATGACTAAATAAAATAAATAGATTAGAGCTGCTGGAGGAAGAGACCCTTGTCCAGCAGGCCGAGGCAAAGAGGCAGTCCCGAAACGAGCAAAACCAGGGAGCTGGACAGGGGACAGATTGGATTTGCCTTCATTGTGGAAGGGATTATTGTCACTCTCGAATTGGCCTTCTCAGCCACACTAGATGCTGTTCCAAGACCTCCATACAGAGCACGATACCATAGTGTCTCGAGACTGAAGGATGCCTACAACAAGCTGAAGGAAACACAGCCAAACAGACATGAAACCAGGATATAATGTTTGGGGGTCCGGGAAGCAGAAAAACACTTGGAGAACTTTGGAGGCAGAAGAAGACATGCTACATATGTTGGCCTTAACCGTGGATGCCTGGAAGGACTTGATCAATGTGCTCAGCTGAGGCAGGATATCACCCATTCCTTTGACGTGCATGCCGCTAACGGCAAGGAAGTGTGGTGATGGTGTTAAAACAGGATGAGGTAAGAAAGAGATTTGCATATGGGATGGACACACAAATGATCTCTGAGTAAATGTAAAGTCAGCGGTGGGCCGCTGTGCCTCCTCTCCTTTGGCTGATCTGCAAAGTCTCATCGATGGTCCCTAGTGCAACTAATGGCGAGGAAATGACATGGGCTGCAGTTTGAGAACATCTCAGACTGGAGGGCTGCAAGGTGCTCACTCCTAAATTATATGTGTATTCTGGGATAGGCATTACAATGAAGCCTCTGGTCTGGCTTCACTCTAATGGAACACCCGGTAGCCCTCATGCGGACAAAAAGAGCCCAGAGAGCAGCCTAAGGCAAATGTTCCTTTGAAAGAGAGGCAGCCCGTAGTGTCTCCAGGGTTCACTTCATTATTTGTTAGTTGGTGGAAATGTGAAATGCCAAAATGCAATGTACTCTACTTCACTGAACAGAACCGCTCTTGATTAAAAAAAAAAGATACCTTCCTTACCATTTTCCCTGTTTGTAGATCTAAGCTTTGGCATCCCTGCCTGGAACAAACCCCCTAAACCAGGAGGTCCTCCACCACCACCATAGTTATTACCGCCACCACCGCTGCTGCCACCACTGGTGAAGCCACCGCCGCCACCACCGCCACCACCAGATCCTTTGGGTTCTGTAGAAACAAGAAGGAAGAAGGTTAAGACCTTCATCATTCTTAAACCACAACAGAGCTTGCAGTCTATTTTTACCTGTCTGAAATGGAACCATCACTATTCTGGCCCTAAACAACAGTTTGATTTAGAAAAGGACCAGAGGAATCTTGGCTTTGCTAATATGGTTGGAATTCAATTTCCGTGAGCCCCAGGAAAAGTAACAAATTGTGAGGAACACTGGGAGCAACATTCTGTTTATGTCTGCAAAGTTGCAGGTTCCCCATTTCTGGTCTAAAATAAGTCATGACTATTGGGAGGTCTTTACACCCAGAGTAGAGGTCAGGCCACTAGATGGAGTGGTATAGTAATATAACAAATAAATAAATACATTTACATGAGCTCATTTCTAAACATTGCAATACAACATATTTCACAACTTCAAGAACTCTAGTTAGTTGTACCAGAATTCTTCAACTTAAATGTTGTGGTGACGATATAAATGATATATACCATTGACCATATACATTATATATACTCACTATCAAGGATTGGACCACTCCTGTCATTGGTAACAGTCTTCTTGAGTTTTTTCCCTTTGGTAATATCTGACAAAAGAGCATTTCGTCCTGCCTGCTCCGATCTGCTTAAGGAAGGCTTTTCTGTATTTGCCTGCAAGAATTAGATGTTACGTAGTACAAACATCAAGGCACTTAAATTACCGTACAGTTTCTCTCTAAAGCATGATATGGGAATTGACTTTCCTTTTCACCCCAGAGTCACATGACTTTCCCCAATGTCTTTTCCCCTGTTTCCTTCAAATAGGGTGTTGAGAGGAATTACAGGAATCCTGAGACCCTTAATCCAACATCAGGATTACGTACATCCTTGGCTCTATGTGTTCTGATTAACCCCGTCTTCTGGCAAGGCAGACGATCTATTTCAAGCACATATAACATAACCAAAAGCATGGCGGCACCTAACAGTTTTATTTCAGCATGAGCTTTCAACAAATACTGTAAATCTGTTAGTCCTAATGGTGCCCTCCTGTTTACTTATTTACTTTGTGGGTTTTTTTCTTTTTTCTTTTGGTTTTCCCCCCTGCTTTTCTGCTTTACATGCTGAAACAGACTAACACCAACTACTCTCTGAAAACCGCCCATGGCAGAAGTAAGAAAACTTTGGGTCAGAGTCTGGAAGCTTTTGGATAACAAGAATGCAAGTAAGCTACAGTTAAAAAGAAATGCAACAAGTACCGTATTTTTCGCTCAATAAGACACACCGTAATTACAAAGCTGATTTTTGGTGCAACAAGACACATTTTTCTATTGACTTTCAAAAATTACTTTTAAAGGACATTTTTAAAGCCATTTTTGCAGAAATTTGTTGAGGATTTTCAAGCACTATGCTGTTCTCTGATCAGTCCTAAGTGCAAAGCGAGTATTGTTTAGTCTTTTCCTAATTTTCAAAGTATTTTCAGCATTTAATATCAGAAATGGCCATTCAAGGGAACTGGAGAATGCTTTCACATACTTCCACACACACACCTGGTGCTCTAATTCCAATGCAACACGTTAATGATGCATAATGGAAAGAGTCATAAACAGAGCATGGATCTTTTCTCTTGCTCAGCTCGAGGATACTGGCAATAAGACTTCAGAGCTTTATAGAGAAATTTTGTAAGCCGAATTGGCTTCAAAAAAGTGGGAGATGAACACCTTTATGTTGGTTTTAACATAAGAAAAATTAAACGTTCCCAAGTATTTTCAGATATGGATGTTGATATCAACACTGTTCTGTGTCGCTGCTGCTGCCGGTCCATTCAGCTCAGAGTCCCCACTTGCACCTAGACGAGTAAGGAGTATACGTGGACCAGTGGTAGGCTGACAGCATGACGGAGCAAACTCTGTAACCCACAGAGTTGATTGTGATTCTCAGCATCTCTCTCTGCCCCAGACATATTTATAGGACAACAAAGGGGTTGGCATTCACTTTTATATTGAGAAGAAAATGTCTGGTGAGACTGCCTGCCATCTATGTTGACCTAGAACAGTGCCCAAACTAAAAAAACAAAAACAAAACAAAACCCAGCGGACGGTGGAACCAGAAGTGGAGGTGGCAGAACTGGAAGTGGCAGTAGAAGGGGGAATTCTGGGCACGGGGTTGGCATTCACTTTTATATTGAGAAGAAAATGTCTGGTGAGACTGCCTGCCATCTATGTTGACCTAGAACAGTGGCGGCGAACCTTTTTGGGCCCGAGTGCCCAAACTGAAAAAACAAAAACAAAACAAAACCCAGCGGATGGTGGAACCAGAAGTGGTGGTGGCAGAACTGGAAGTGGCAATGGAAGGGGGAATTCTGGGCACAGAGGCGCCTCAAGACTCCACTCCAGATCCGCTGCCAGCGCCAGCTGCTCCGGGTCCTGGCCCGCCGCCTGTCAAAGCGCCAGAACCACGGCTGCAGCTGCCTCCTCAGGTTTGGCTGCAGGGAGGAGAGGAGTAGTGATCTGGCAACTTATGGATTGCGTGCTCACAGAGCGGGCTCTGCGTATCAGCTGTGGCACGTGTGCCGTAGGTTCGCCACCACTGTCCTAGAATGTTCTGCAGCCCAAGAAACAGCAAAGAAAAAGAGATGGCCACTCCCACTGCTTCTCATTACCATTTGCTGTGCCAAAGGGTAGGAATGGCCCTGGCATGGCTACCTGGGCTCTGGCAGTGTCCTAAACAAATGCCTTGGAGAGACAAATCCTTCCTAAAACCAAGGATCAGCCGTGTGCCGTCATCCTTGTTGCACATCACCCTTCTTACACGTTCCTGACAAATCTGTGTACTTACATAGGAGCCATGTTTGCTGCAGTTGGAAGTTCTGTTAAATAATTTTCATGCAGCAAAAGCCTTGAGGTTTGGAAGGCAGATGTGCAACCTAAACATGTGGTTAGCATTAGGGTTGCCATTACTACTGGACTGACTGGATTTAACCCAGGTTTTAGGCAAGTCACCCAGTGCCTATCACCTGGCCCTAATTCTAAGCCTTCCTTTTTTAAAAAAAGATGGCTAATTTTCATGCAGCAAAAGCCTTGAGGTTTGGAAGGCAGATGTGCAACCTAAACATGTGGTTAACATTAGGGTTGCCAATGCTACTGGACTGACTGGGTTTAACCCAGGTTTTAGGCATGTCATCCAGTGCCTATCACCTGGCCCTAATTCCAAGCCTTCCTTTTTTTTAAAAAAAGGTTGCTCTCTAATCCAGTGGTCCCCAACCTTGGGCCTCCAGATGTTCTTAGATTTCAACTCCCAGAAATCCTGGCCAGCAGAGGCGGTGGGGAAGGCTTCTGGGAGTTGTAGTCCAAAAACATCGGGAGGCCCAAGGTTGGGGACCATTGCTCTAATCCATACAAAACTGAAGATAAAAGGCAAAACATTCCATCACAGTTTTGACCAATTGTTTGGTGAAAAGCAAGCCTTTCCATGTGATTAACCACCCATACTTTGACAGGATTTCGTTGAGACTGAAGACTCTGGGTAAATATTATAATTGTGGGAACATCTGTCCACACCTGGCCTGCAAACAGTGAAATCTGTCCGCAGAGCTGTCTCTGAATGCGACATCAAAAAGCAATGAAGCCACAGTAATGATTGTCAGTTGAGGGTATTATTATTATTATTAATCTCAGAACTACAGAGTTGGATAGGGCTTTATGGATCATTGAGTCCAGCTCCTATCAAGGAGGCACAGTGGAGGAATCAAACTCCCAACCTCTGGCTCCACAGCCATATACCTAAACCATTGAGCTATCCCAATTATGAGAGCTGTAGTCCAAAAATGGAACTTCTCCAAACTCTGACATTATGCGCTACATTGCATTTCCTGCTTTGGCAAGGGCTGACTTGATAATTGGCTGCAGGGAGGAGGGGAGTAGTGATCTGGCAACTTATGGATTGCGTGCTCACAGAGCGGGCTCTGCGTATCAGCTGTGGCACGTGTGCCGTAGGTTCGCCACCACTGTCCTAGAATGTTCTGCAGCCCAAGAAACAGCAAAGAGAAAGAGATGGCCACTCCCACTGCTTCTCATTACCATTTGCTGTGCCAAAGGGTAGGAATGGCCCTGGCAGGGCTACTTGGGCTCTGGCAGTGTCCTAAACAAATGCCTTGGAGAGACAAATCCTTCCTAAAACCAAGGATCAGCCGTGTGCCGTCATCCTTGTTGCACATCACCCTTCTTACACGTCCCTGACAAATCTGTGTACTTGCATAGGAGCCATGTTTGCTGCAGTTGGAAGTTCTGTTAAATAATTTTCATGCAGCAAAAGCCTTGAGGTTTGGAAGGCAGATGTGCAACCTAAACATGTGGTTAGCATTAGGGTTGCCATTACTACTGGACTGACTGGATTTAACCCAGGTTTTAGGCAAGTCACCCAGTGCCTATCACCTGGCCCTAATTCTAAGCCTTCCTTTTTTAAAAAAAGATGGCTCTCTAATCCATACAAAACTGAAGATAAAAGGCAAAACATTCCATCACAGTTTTGACCAATTGTTTGGTGAAAAGCAAGCCTTTCCATGTGATTAACCACCCATACTTTGACAGGATTTCGCTGAGACTGAAGACTCCGGGTAAATATTATAATTGTAGTAACATCTGTCCACAGCTGGCCTGCAAACAGTGAAATCTGTCCACAGAGCTGTCTCTGAATGCGAGATAAAAAGCAATGAAGCCACAGCAATGATTGTCAGTTGATATTATTATTATTAATCTGAGAACTACAGAGTTGGATAGGACTTTATGGATCATTGAGTCCAGCTCCTATCAAGGAGGCACAGTGGAGGAATCAAACTCCCAACCTCTGGCTCCACAGCCATATACCTAAACCACTGAGCTATCCCAATTATGAGAGCTGTAGTCCAAAAATGGAACTTCTCCAAACTCTGACATTATGCGCTACATTGCATTTCCTGCTTTGGCAAGGGCTGACTTGATAAGCCTTGGAGTCCCTTCCACTTCTATAATTATATAAATCTATGATTCTATGGTCTTCCAGAAATACAGAATTAAGTTCCATTTTATCTTCCACGGGTTTCTAAGTGCTGCACCAAGGAAAGGAAGAGTTGGCATAAACAATGGAGGAGCCAGGGAAGAGGACGAGTATAAATGTTAAAAACGTATGATGGTTGTTAATCTTGTTAGTGAGATAACAGTTGCTGTGAATCTACATTTTTTTCAAAGAGAAGTCAAACAATGATATGAAAATTATACGGTCCTTTCTGAATAAATGATTCGACATGTATTTGTTTTCATATAGCTTGTTGAATTACTGACTCAGGTATGTAACCTATTAAATTAAATGGATCTTACACCTCTATAAATGTGCAGAAGAAATTGTACGCTTCTGTTTATTAGGAAACAGAGATTAACAAAGTTAATTGCTTTAACAGGAAATCACTTGCTTTTACATATTCACTCTGTATTGCTGAAGGAAATGGTACCTTCATAGCTGCAGTTTGCTCTCACTTTCCCCTTCATTTTTTCCTGAAATAAGAAGACACTGGCCAGTATCCTGTTGCACAACTCTGCCTCTGCAACGGGAGTGACATCACTGGCTGCCACAGATTGCCACTAATTAAAGAGTTCCTTGTTCCAGTTTTGGGTTGTATGCTGATACAAAGTTGTCTGCAG